GACTATTAAGTGTCCTTATGCTAAAGGATATGAAAACTCCTACAAATACTTATATAAAGGACAATACAAAGATAGTAGTATTATACTAACATCTGATGGAGGAGAGTCATCAGTGTCTGAAGGCAGATTCTCTCTGCGGGACGATCATCAGACGAGATCATTTACGGTGACCATCAGAGACCTGAGGATGGCAGATGCTGGAGAGTACGCCTGTAGAGCTGGATGGGGAGAATATAAACGATTCCAGCTGAATGTGATTAAAGGTGCCTAATGTTCAACACAAAACAAACAGTCTGTTTCATCCACTAAGTTTATGATTCGTGCTGTAGTTCATGGTTGTTTATTAATGTATCTGTTTGATTTAAACGATGTGATCTTGTTGCACAGCTCCACAGAAAACAAGACCTGTCCAGATCTCAACATCCACCCTTCTTCCGTATATAAACATCAGCACTGACCAAACCAGCACAGGTACCTGAACACACACACACACGCACGCACACACACGCACAAGCACGCACACGCACACACACACACACACACACACGCACACACTTCGCCTTCAGACACCTTTACACACATGCATTTTTGTAAAAACTATTGCTAATATGTAGTCACTGTTTTTACATAAATAATTTAAGTCATAATTTCAATCAAATCATAGTTACTCTTATTATCTTGAATACAGAAGCATCAAAGCTTCTGAACACATGTTTAATGCTGCATTCATGATAGTGGAGCAATTACCATAATTTATAAGTTTTCAGCAAGTTCTGACCAGACAGTTCATGGCTCAAACTTGGAAACTCAAAATTTTATCAACACCTCAACTTTAAAATATAAACTAATATGGCACGCGGCCTCAACACCTGCAATATTGAGTCAAATGTCAAATAACTGAATGCTTGATATATCATTTTATTACAACCAGTGGTTCTACAGTTCTACAGTTTATGAGACTGTGAACGGCTCAAAATAAAATAATTTCATAATTAGATAATTTGGACATAAGCACAGCATTACATTACATGGGTTTTCCATGGTGTCTTAACATCTGCATTCATGCATCTGACAGACACATTTATCCAAAGTATCATTATTACTTGTGAGCAGCACATTCACATTGCACTTCTCTCTCTCTCTCCCTCTCTCTCTCTCTCTCTGTCAGTGACACCTCAAACAGAACGTGAAACTACAAGAACAAAGACAGGAAGTACTGCAGTTCACCTCAATCAGCCAAAACCTAGTGAGCACACAAACTACACTACCCACAATGCAACAGTCCCGTTTGATTATGTGGTATATTTTGGAGAAAAGCAATTGGACTAAACATTTGTTGAGACACATTTTAGCTCATGATGAACCTGATCTAAGTGATGCACACATCAGACGTCATGTGGTTAACCTGGTTTCACATCAACTATAGACAGAAGGGTTTTCCTCAGAGGACTGAGGTTTACCAGTGCGGGTTCCCTTCGGTTACACAATATAACACATTTCCAATATTTTAGAATGGTGAATATTGCACTAATCAAAGTCATTCATGTAAATATTAAGATTGTTATTGTTTATTCAACAGTATAATCAGAATCAGTGCTGTGTTGTTTTGTGTTTAATGTTGTGTTCAGATCTGTCTTCTGTCGCTGGCGGTCTGGGTTCGGTTCTGCTGGTTCTGGTTCTGTGTTCTGGAATGTTCCTCGTCCTGAAAAAGAGGAAGAGGAAATCTGGGACAGGTAGCAGTTTATGTGTGATTATAAAGTCCTTTTGGAGTAGGTTTGACTAAATCTTTACTCTCTTTTCTTTCAGCTTTATTTCAGCAAAATGTGCAGCACAATACAGAGGTGGGTGATCAAATCTTTACCTGTAGAAGATCAGAAATACATTATTACATTACATACATTATTTTTTATTGATGAGCAGTGAACGCTATCTATATAAGCGAGTAAATAATTATTGTGTATGCTGTTTTTCAGACTGAGCTTATGTATGATGAGATTCCAAACAGTGATGTCATCACCTCAGCATCTTCGTCCAATCAGACGCCTGCATCACACCTCAACACCCGCCCACAAGTCTCTGATGTTTATGCTACAGTAACCAATCAGCGGCCTGATTCAAACCCCAGTCTCATCCACTCAGCCAATCAGGTGACGGATACAGACTGTGATTATTACGCCAGCATGAAGCCGCCTGAAACAACACCGGACAACAGAACAGAACTCATTTACTCAACAGCGACACATCCGCAAAACGTCAAGACAAACGACGGCCCGATATATTCAATAATCAAACATAAATAATAAAAAAAGACTGTCAAAACTTCTTCCACAGACATCTGCACTGATGCTCAAAGTGAAAAAAATGATAATTTAATGCGAGTGACCAAGTCAGTCAATATTGTAAGTCGACTCATATACTGTTGAGTTGATTGTCTGCTAGGCTTGGGTGTGTTTGATATAAAATACATCATTAAACCAGAGATTACATGAAAGATTATATACATTTAAAGTTGATCTTTCCTGTCACTGATCAGTGAAGAAGACCACTAAAGCTCCAACTATCAGCTCTTTTACAAACACACCGTTATATTTCAGCAAAACAGAGACAAATCCACGATCCAGCAGCATCACAATCACAGAAAGAAAAGAAAGAATCACAGATGAACACAAATCAGCAGGTCAGTTCGTCTTTCTGTCACTGCATATGACTCGTATTCTTGGATATTTGAATAGTGTGCTTATAAATATACATCTAATAATCAAATAATACATTTCCATATATTAGATGATTCCTTTGAGATTAAATGTGCTTTTAATGTCTTACTGTACGTGCAGGGTCTGAAATCCACATGTGTTGAAGACTGAAGGTTCAGTCTCCAGATATTTGCTTCCTTGTAGTATATATATATACAGTATATATGTATAATTTATAATGTACTTTTATACTGCTTTGGATAAGAAAGTGTCTTCAATAGAAAATACAACTTCTGTTCATATTCACAAAATAAGATGAATGGTTTGTGAGTGTACATGTAGTGCTTGTGTTCATGTTGTCAATGTGGTCACAATGTTCTTATTGAGCATCACATTCACATTTACTTGTTTTTCTCTCTGTCACTGACTCGTCAAAAAGAGAGTGAAACAACAAGAACAGGAAGTACTGCAGTTCATCTCGATCAGCCAAACACTAGTAAGCACACAAACTGCACTACCCATGATGCAACAGTGCCCTCAATGATTACATAGAATGAGATATGTTGGAGGAAAGCGGTTGGTTTAAACATGTGTGGAGACACATTTTAACTCTTGTAGCTCATGATGAACCTGATTAAAGTGATGCACAGATCAGACTTCATGTGGTTAACCTGGTTTCACATCAGCTGTAGACAGAAGCGTTTTCCTCTGAAGTATTGAGGTTCACCATCGTGGTTTGTCTTCGGTTACAGAATATAACAGCTTAACTTGATGAAACTGAGAGCAGTTACGGAAGCTACAATCTTGAATTTGATCAAATATACACTCATGAATGCAATTGTTGTGCTGTTTAGGTCTGTATAATAAATGGACAGAGGGTCAGTGTCATTGTGAAGATGTCGTGTAAAGCTGGATGTGGTTAGAGAGACAGAAAAGGGAAGGAAATATGAAGCTGCGTTTCTTCACTCAGTACGGAAGAGAAAGACTGTAAAGTTTGTCACAGAATTCGGTCTCATATTTCAGTAAAATGTTCAGCATGTGTGTCGTTCTGCTCGTCTTTTCCAGCATCTCTACAGGTGAGTTCAAGACTCTGACCTCTTTTGTACAGAGTTGTACATGTTTTCATGTTTTTTTTATTACTGCATGATGATTAAATGGTTATATTTGTACATTATTATTCAGTTCTGATATCTATTTCTCACACATAACAGCTCTATATAATGATATTTCTGTTTTCAGCTGGTGTTGGTGCTCCAGAAACAGTCACAGGACACAGAGGAGAGAGAGTTGACATCAGATGCAGATATGAAGCTGGATATGAATCAAATTCAAAGTATTTTTGTAAAGGAGAGTGTATCGTTGGATTTAAAAACATCATGGTTAAATCAGGATCTCCAGCTGAAGACGAGAGATTCTCTCTGACTGACAACACGACGGCCAGAGTTTTCACCGTCAGCATCACTGATCTGAGAACAGAGGATACAGGACAATACTGGTGTGGTGTGGAGAGGACTTTCACTGATTGGTCTTTAAGAGATGTCTATTCAGAGATTATGTTGCTGGTTACAGAGGGTAAGTTATTAATTTTATTAGATGCTGTAGAAAGTGTGAGTGAGTGACCAAGTCATGAAATCTTGTAAGTCGACTCATATACTGTTGAGTTGATTGACTGCTTAGACTTTAGTGTCTTCGGTATAAAATACATCAATCCAGAGATTACATGAAAGATTATATGTATTTGATATCAAAATCAGTGTGAATTCATCTGCATCAGTATGATTAAGTTGATCTTTCCTGTCATCCATCAGTTAAAAAACCCAATGAGGTTTCAACTATCAGCTCTTTTTCAATCACACCGTCATATTTCAGCACAGCAGAATTGAATCCACGATCCAGCAGCATCACAATCACAGAAAGAAAAGAAAGAATCACAGATCAGCACAAATCAGCAGGTCAGTTCGTCTTTCTGTCACTGCATATGACTCAGTTTTCTTGACTATTTAAATAGTGTGCTTCTAATTGTACTTGAATACATATATTAGATGACTCTTTTGAGATTAGATGTGTGTTTAATGTCATACTGTACAAGACTGAAGGTTCAGTCTCCAGATATGTGCTTCCTTGTTGTTATAACGTACTTTAAGTTGCTTTGGATAAGAAAGTGTCTTCAATAGAAAATATAAATTGAAAATACAACTTCCGTTCATATTCACAAAATTATATGAGCGGTTTATGTGCGTACATGTACTGCTTAATTTATGTGTGTTCATGTTCTTGCCGCATGAGCAGCACTGATGTTCACTGATGTTTTTCTCTCTGTCACTGACTGGTCAAAAAGAGAGTGAAACAACAAGAACAGGAAGTACTGCAGTTCATCTCGATCAGCCAAACACTAGTAAGCACACAAACTACACTACCCATGATGCAACAGTGCCCTCAATGATTAGAATGAGATATTTTGGAGAAAAGCAAGTGGTTTGAACATTTGTGTTGACTCATTTCAACTCTTGATGAACACGATTGCACACATCAGACTTCATGTGGTTAATCTGGGTTCACATCAGCCTTTGGCAGAAACATTTTCCGCTGAAGCGTTGAGGTTTACCAGTGCAGTTTCATTTCGGTTACAGAATATAACAGCAATACATTTCAAATATTCTGAATATTACAATAATCAAAATTATTTATCATTTTTAAGATGGTTATTCAACAGTATAATCAGAATCAGTGCTGTGTTGTTTTGTGTTCAATGTTGTGTTCAGATCTGTCTTCTGTCGCTGGCGGTCTGGGTTCGGTTCTGCTGGTTCTGGTTCTGTGTTCTGGAACGTTCCTCATCCTGAAAAAGAGGAAGAGGAAATCTGGGACAGGTAGCAGTTTATTTGTGATTATAAAGTCATTTTGGAGTAGGTTTGACTAAATCTGTTCTCTCTTTTCTTTCAGCTTTATTTCAGCAAAATATGCAGCACAATACAGAGGTGGGTGATCAAATCTTTACATGTAGAAGATCAGAAATCATTATCAGTATTATCTATATAAGCTAGTAAATTATTGATGTACAGTATATGTTGTTTTTCAGAGTGTCCACATGTATGAGATTGCAATCCCTGACCCTGGACCATCTGATGTCATTGCTGCAACATCTTCATCCAATCAGACGCCTGCATCGCATCTCAACACCCGCCCACAAGTCTCTCCTGTTTATGCTACAGTAACCAATCAGCAGTCTGATTCAAACCCCAGTCGCATCCACTCAGCCAATCAGGTGACGGATACAGACTGTGATTATTATGCCAATATGAAGTCACCTGAACCAACAACAGACTGCAGAACAGAACTGATTTACGCAACAGCGACACATCCGCAAAAAGTCAAGACAAACGACGGCCTGATATATTCAGTGATCAAACATAAATAAAAAAAGACAATAAAGTTCTTCCACAGACATCTGCACTGATGTTCCAAGTGAAAAAAAACTGGTACATGCTACCTATTTTTAATGAATCAATATGTTGACACACTTTTCTCAGTTGTTATCAGTATTTTAAAAACTATGTAATTTTACTAAGAAGAAAAGTGAACTTAAGTATTCTTTGTAAATCTCATTTACAGTTAAATAAGATGAAAATGTAAATATATTGTGGATAAGCTTAAAGTGTTTTAGGCAGCGTTCTCACAGGTGTATTATACAGGTCTGTATTAAGCACTGTTCACTTGTGCTCGGATCAATGAAAACATCTTAATACCAGTTGTAAACAGGGCCTGAAATCGGCTCCAAACTAATGGCCCTGCTGTAATAAACAACAGCAAACATTACAGAAATTCGAATGGTTTCCTCTACAAATAACATTACAAACATTACAAGCCATGAACTATTAACCATTAGAACCAATACAAAATGGTTTCCTGTAGTGTGTTTTGGGAGATATTCCATTAGGATGTAATGATTTTAACAAGCCACTAATAAAAGTTGACAAATTGCCTGTAGCGACCCACAGAGACATTACAATTTCCATTAAAACCAATACAAGTCCCATTATAGCCAGTAAAACCATTACAAATTCTGTGATGGTTTCTATTGGGGTTTTTTCAGCAGGAGGTGAACTCATGAAAAATGGACTATAACTATTGAAGGTTGACTTGATGAAACTGAGAGCAGTTACGGAAGCTACAATCTTGATTGTGATCAAATATACACTCATGAATGCAATTGCTGTGCTGTTTAGGTCTGTATAATAAATGGACAGAGGGTCAGTGTCATTGTGAAGATGTCGTGTAAAGCTGGATGTGGTTAGAGAGACAGAAAAGGGAAGGAAATATGAAGCTGTGTTTCTTCACTCAGTACGGAGGAGAAAGACTTTAACGTTTGTCACAGAATTCGGTCTCATATTTCAGTAAAATGTTCAGCATGTGTGTCGTTCTGCTCGTCTTTTCCAGCATCTCTACAGGTGAGTTCAAGACTCTGACGTCTTTTGTACAGAGTTGTACATGTTTTCATGTTTTTATATTACTGCATGATGATTAAATGGTTATATTTGTACATTATTATTCAGTTCTAATATCTATTTATCCCACATAACAGCTCTATATAATGATATTTCTGTTTTCAGCTGGTGTTGGTGATCCAGAAACAGTCACAGGACACAGAGGAGAGAGAGTTGACATCAGATGCAGCTATGAAGCTGGATATGAATCAAATTCAAAGTATTTTTGTAAAGGCGAGTGTATCTTTGGATTTAGAAACATCATGGTGAAATCAGGATCTCCAGCTGAAGACGAGAGATTCTCTCTGACTGACAACACGACGGCCAGAGTTTTCACCGTCAGCATCACTGATCTGAGAACAGAGGATACAGGACGATACTGGTGTGGTGTGAAGAGAACTTTCACTGATATCTATTCAGAGATTATGTTGCTGGTTAAAGAGGGTAAGTGTTTTTTTTATTAGCTGTTGTTTAAATTAACTGCATTGAAATAAGCCGAGAGCAATAATTTAGTCTTTAAGTCTTGTAAGCTGCCTGCTTAGATTTGAATGTGATGATTATAAAGTACAGAAATAAGCCACTAGTGTGCATTATAGTGATCTTACCACAGTTAAGGGGTTTTATTCATGCAACACAAAACAGTACTAAAAACAGATTAAATGGATGAAAATATAATAAGATAATAAGACCACTGAGGTTTCAACCATCAACACTTTTACAAACACACTGTCATATTTCAATACAACAGAGCAGAATCAAAAATCCACCAGCATCACAATCACAGAAAGAAAAGAAAACACAATCACAGATCAGTACAGCTCAACAGGGCCGTTCAGTTCATCAATGTGATGATCTATAAGTAAGTTTAAAGGATGTTAAATGTGTGTAACAGGTGATGTCTTGCACACAAAGTCTGTCGTCTACGTCTCTGTGGGGTTAGTCATCGTGATGATCATCTTCCTCACTGCGCTGACGGTGTTGTGTAGGAAGAGAAGCAAGAAATCACCAAGAGTTACACAATCAGGGCTTTCACCGCAAGGTGAGATTTAGAAACTAAACACACAGACCCCCCCCCCACGCACAAACAGACACACGCGCACAGAACCACCACCACACACACACACACACACACAGACAGACAGACACACATACAAAAACAAAAGTGTTGCGTTTATAATTTTGTTCAGTGTATATACAACATCTTCTGATTTAAGACAGAACTATTTAGATCAAGGGTCAGATGCACTATTCCCTAAATAATTAAAATGTGGAATATATAGGCATACCACCATAACAAATTTCTCATATTTGTCATAACATCATTATATTCTATGAGTTTAATGCATTTGCAGACAATGTAGTTATCTGTAACTGTCATATAAATGTAAATTCAGTCTTAGAGGAGAATGCCATTGAATGTGTAGCTAATATGAAGTGTTTTCATGAAAAAAAAAAATCTAACCAAAATCAGAACTGAAAACAAACTCTGGATGAAAAAAAAAACTCCCAATAAATGTCCAAACAGCGATTCTATCACAGCAGTTATTGTGTTATAGAGGGGTTTGACCAACCAGTTAGACAGACAGATTAGGTTATTTATTTGCACAAATCATCCAAGCACCCCAATCCCAGCCATTTCTAATATACTTTTGATTAATATGGCTAAATATTAAATTGTTACGAAATTAAAGATACATCTTTGATTGTCAAAATAATTCCAGCTAATTAGATTTCCCGTAGCATTTTAATCGGTCAGTCATGGAAGTCTGATTTGTTTAAAACGTTTGACAACGTTTAATCCAGGTGCGAAAATAATTCATTTCTAGCGCAAGAGCATGGAGAGATTTGCGAGTGCAAAGGACACAGTTTGAGCGCGCACCCGGGCACACTTTGAGCACGAGGAGAGATTCGTGATTGCAACGGACACATTTTAAGTGTGCGCACACTCTCTGGGAGAGAGCAGCGCATAGCTGAGAGCGCTCGTCCGGTTTAGTGCGAGAGCAAAGGCAATCCGCGTGCGAGTGGAGAGATGCGCTTGCCATCATAGCAATGTACTTTCGCGCTACAACAGTGCGCTCTCGACATTTGACAGTAAAACAATGCCATAGACATTACAGTTTGCCAAAATTACCAATTATAGAAAGTTTTGTACAAGTTTATCTCACTACTGGGCAAAAATCCCACACATATATTTATTCAGAAACTAAATGTAACTTTCTAATGTTTGCTGTCTGGATGTAACATTAATTCTCCCCATGTTTTGACAGTCTCCGTTGTGCTTCTTTCTTTGAATGAACACACTGCAGAGGTGAGTGATGATGATTATCGATATTTATGAACTGATAAAAACAAGAAGATTTGGAAGATAACATGAGTTATTTTGCAGGAGATTGACTGTAATGACCACACATATGAGGAAATCAACATGCTGCAGGGCAAGAACAAAGACATCACAACTATATACACTACAGCAGATAGACCAGAAGATCCATCAATCTACTCAACAGCAGATAGACCAGACAATTCAATGATCTACTCAACAGCAGATAAACCAGATGATGCAATGATCTACTCAACAGAAAATAGACCAGAAGATCCATCGATCTACTCAACAGCAGATAGACCAGATGATGCAATGATCTACTCAACAGAAAATAGACCAGAAGATCCATCGATCTACTCAACAGCAGATAGACCACACGATTCAATGATCTACTCAACAGCAGATAAACCAGATGATTCAATTAGCTACTCAACAGCAGATAAACCAGACAATTCCATGATCTACTCAACAGCAGTTCAATGATCTACTCAACAGAAAATAGACCAGAAGACCAATTGATCTACTCAAGAGCAGATAGACCAGAATATTCAATGATCTACTCAACAGCAGATAAACCAGATGATGCAATGATCTACTCAACAGAAAATAGACCAGAAGATCCATCGATCTACTCAACACCAGATAGACCAGAAGATTCAATGATCTACTCAACACCAGATAGACCAGAAGATTCAACCGTATGACGTTTTTACTAACTGTGTCTCGGAGCAGCTTCATGAACTGGAAGCTGATCCCACAATGCATCAGTGATGGAACTTCTTAAAAAAAAAAAAAAAAAAT